TGGGGGCTGTGGTCCAGATCCCTGCCAGGAACCCACTCATTCTGCCACCTGTTGGCTGCTGGTAGCTCACAACCAAGTCTCTCTCCAGGAATTAACCTTGGGAAAGAGAATTGCTTTGCCCAAATTGATGTCCTTTCCCCAAAGGCACACAGGTCCCCTTGCTTGGATTCAGGACAATCTGAAGGGTCATCCCAGCCCCAAAACTCCCTGAACAGTCAGCTGAGGCCTTTGTTACAACTGCAACACACCTCAACTTCTCCCTCTACCCTACCCTCCTTATCTTTCCCTCCCAGATATTGTCTCCTAGAGAATTTTAGCAGTAAGCCTTCTGTCTGCAGATCTCCATCTCAGCATCCGTTTCCAGGTAGCCCAATCTAAGGCAGATAGAAAGAATAAAAACAAAAAGACCCAGGGGCGCCTGGGTGGCTCAGTCGTTAAGCGTCTGCCTTCGGCTCAGGTCATGATCCCAGGATCCTGGGATCGAGCCCCGCATCGGGCTCCGTGCTCCGCGGGAAGCCTGCTTCTCCCTCTCCCACTCCCCCTGCTTGTGTTCCCTCTCTCGCTGTGTCTCTCTCTGTCAAATAAATAAATAAAATCTTAAAAAAAAAAAAAAAGACCTGAAGACATCTAGTGTGTCTCCATCTATATGATTGGAATTTCAGCAGACAAGAACAGAGAATGGTGACTAACATGACATAATAAAATAAAAAAAATAAAATAAAATAAATTTTTAAAAAAGAAGAGAATGGAAGGGAAGGAAAAAATCAAAGAACATATAGATTTCCCAGAATTGATGAAAGGAAGATACTGATCATATTGAAAAAGTCCACCAAGTATTCAACAAGATGAAAAGTAAAAAATATATAAGATATATATGTAAATATATATATTATATAAATATATAATATATTTTATATAAATATATATTAAAAATATATAATATATATATTAAGAAATTGACTTGCATGGGGAAGTCTGGGTGGCTCAGTCAGTTAAGCGTCTGCCTTTGGCTCAGGTCATGATCCAAGGGTCCTGGGATCGAGTCCTGCATCAGACTCCTTGCTTAGTGGGGGCCTGCTTCTCCCTCTGCCTGAAGCTCCTCCTGTTTGTGTCTCTGACAAATGAATAAAGTCTTAAAAAAAAAAAAGATCTAACGACCTAGTTAATGAGGTCGATCCAATTAATATAATGAAGTCTATACTTTGAAACGAGAAAATAAACTTTTTTGAGAGCATTTTCTAAGCACAGCACAAAAATCAGAAACCCCCCAAAATAGATTTAATTGTTTTTAAATATCTGCATAGTAAAAAATATTGTAAACAAAACAAAAAGGCAATAGCAAGCCAGAGGGAAGTAATCACCAACCATCTTTGAGACGCTTCCATGTAGTATGCACTTTGTGTTTTTGCCCAGCACCCATATCAGTGCCATGATTTTGTTCTTGGAGTACCATTCTGGCTATCTGGTGGTGATGAGGTCTCCCTCCAGGCCCCAAGACAGGTGTGAGGAAATCACTTCATCATCTACCTGGCCACAGGATCAATTCAAGCATTAGCACAGGACCCATTTGGGGCCAATAAGAAGGAGTAAATGACAGGACTTTAGCGCAACCAACTAAAAAAGACCTCTGCCACTGAATTTATGGTATGAAGCTGTAAGATGCAGCCATCCTGGTACCAGAGTGAGGGCTAGCCTGAGGATAGAGCTGAAGAAACAGAACCCAGGGATGAATCCTAGAGACATATACTGGTGCCTAAATAGATTAGACAGAAATAACCAGAATGCTCAATGTCTTTAAATGTATTGGGATGGGGTAGAGGGCAGGCAGGGGGTAAACAACTAGAAAAGACTTTGAGGCTGAACTGTGTTATATGGAAAACTATGCAAATGAAAGAGCAGTTAGTACTAGGTGTTGTGGGTTCAATCACATTCCCCCAAAAAGATATGCTGAAATCCTAAACTCTCCCCACCCAACCCCATGCGTGTGTGTGTGTGTGTGTGTGTGTGTGTGTGTGTGAGATTGTCTTTGCAAATAAGGTTAGGGATGCTTGGGGGGCTCAGTCATTAAGCATCTGCCTTCAGCTCAGGTCATGATCCCGGAGTCCTGGGTATCGAGCCCGCCTCAGACTCCCTGCTTGGTGGGGAGCCTGCTTCTCCCTCTCCCACTCCCCCTGCTTGTGTTCCCTCTCTCACTGTCTCTCTCTGTCAAATAAATAAAGTCTTTAAAAAAAAATGAGGTTATACTGGATTAGGGTGGGCCCCAAACCCCATGACTGGTGTCCTTATAAGGAAAGAGGTTTGGAGAAAGAAAAGACACTTGGGAAAGAAGACCACATGAAGACCAGGGCAGAAATGGGAGTTAGGAAGGCCAGAGATTGCTGCCAACCACCAGAGGCTAGAAGAGGCAAGGAAGGATTCTTCCCTAGAGCCTTCATAAGGGAGCATGGCCCTGCCACCACCTTGATTTCAGACTTCTGTCCTCCAGAACTGAGAGGATAAATTTCTATTGTTTTAAGCCATCCAGTTTGTGGTAATTTGTTATGGCAACCCTAGGAAAGTAATACACCAGATGATGATTAACTTCAAGGAAAAGCAAAAAGTTGTGCAAGGAAGAAAAGTAACGGGTGTAATAGAGAAATGAGTTCCAGGTAGCATTTCTATAGACAGAATAATGTAAAAATCAATCTATCAATCACAGTATAACCATATTGGGAAGATAGGGAGAGGGGGCCTGGCAATTACACTTGTTTACTGGCAGCAGGAGAATCAACTTCTTGCCTTCTATCACGTGAACTTTACCTTCTATCATGGGAACTCAATAGATAATGCAAAAATTGAGAAATGAAGTAATATCATTATAAGCTTGGTACATAGAGATATGGACAAATGGCCAAAGAAACAGCTAAAAGTTGAAAATGGTCATCTCTGGAGAATGAGACATGAGAAATTAGATGCTGGTGTACTAGACTGGACTGTTTTTCATAATAACTCATGTAGCACTATTTGGCCTATTAAATTATGCCTGTATCAACTTTAACGAAAATAAAAACAAAATTAAAAAGGAAAAAAATAAGCAAAAATGAACAGACAGTTCACAAAGGAATAAATTCAAATGAGGATCATATGAACACATGCCTAAACTCAACCACAATCAGGCCAATTCAATTTAAAATAAATTTTAAAAATAAGTCTAATAATATTAAATCTAATATTAAGTCTGCCACCAACCAAGCACAATGGTTGGAAAAAAATTTGGAAATTTGAAAATGTTTTTTAGTAAAATTGAAAATGTGTATACAACATGCTAATCCATTCTGGCTTGAATCCCAGGAAACTTTTGTACAGGATCAGAAAAAAACATGTTTGAGAAAGTTAATTACAGTATTGTTTATCATAGTGAAAATCTGGAGAGGACTAAATGTTTACCAATAGATTTTATCCATTCCGGATAGGATAACTTATATTTTCATATAATACTATCTGTCAATGAAAAGAAATAAACTAACTTTATTATATATGAAAACACAGAGTGAAAATTTTCAGTGAAAAAGAAATGGGAAGAACAGTTTGTCCAACCTATTACCACTGAAACAAATTTGAAAACACACTAACCATACACTGCTCATGAATATCTGAATGTAAAAGCATAAAAACATCGATTGGAGGGATACATGCTAAATTCATGACAGAAGTCAGGTTGGAGAGAGGTTTACAAAATGGAACTGAAGGCGAATGCAGAAAGAACATCCACTTCATCTGTAATATGTTAGTTCGTATATTTAAAAACTCTTCTAAGGATGGGAAATTGGCTCTGCAGATTTTGGGTTTGTGAGTCTCCATGATCATGTGAGCTAATTCCCTATAATAAATATTATATTATATTTAACATACATTTAAAATAATAATATATAGTATAATATGTATTTTAAAAATAAAATAAGAACTCTTAAGGAAATATGAGAAAGTACTATTAATTGTCAATTCTGGGTGGTAAGTACTCAGGGTTTTAAAAAATGGAATCTGAGTACTTTTCTGTATTTTTATTACTCAAATTTTAAATACTAGATGTAAAAATGTTTCATTGGGAAATTTCAAAAATTGACTCAAAAAGAATGCAAATGCCTGAATAGTCTAATAACCTATAGAAGATGCCCCCAAACTCAAAGAACCATCCACTAAAAAAAAAGCACTAAATCCATCCAATTTTATGGGTGAGTTCTACCAAATGTTCCAGAAACAATGTCCTAACTCATCCTGTGAGGATAGCATAATCAAACAGAGCTAGATTATTAGCATTCCAAATTCAGCAGGGTATTAAAAGAAAAATCATCTTGCTTGAGTTAAAAAGAGTGCCTTCATGATTTAACATCAGGAAGGTAATTTTTATAATATACTACAGAAAAAAATTAAATGAGAAAAAATCTTAATCTTAAAAGCTCAAAGCTTAAAGTTCAGCTGATGTAAAAAAAAAAAAAAAGTAAAATTTAGTAACCATTATGTATTTTTTTCAATTCTTTGCAAACAAGAAATAGAAGAAAACTTTTAAATGTAGAATAAAGAAAGAAAAACACTCCCCTTAGTCAAAAACAATCGAGGACGCCCTGCATCAAGTGCTAATGTACAAAATGAAATAAATTTAAATATTCGAAATAAGAAAGCAACGTCAGCAGTTGCAGATCATATAACTGGTTACTTGGAAATTCCAAGAGCATTTACTGACAAACTTGGAAGTAACAAGCCCGGATTCTTCTCTCCGCTTCCGGCGCCCCGCCCCCCACTGCCGGGCCTGCGCACGCGCGATTTTGGCGCATGCGCGTGGGGCGGAGAGAAGGAAGATGGCGTCTCCGAGCTTCCCGACGCCGCTGCATGGGCACGTGGGCCGCGGCGCCTTCAGCAATGTGTACGAGCCCGCGGAGGATACGTTCCTGCTGCTGGACGCGCTCGAGGCAGCAGCGGCCGAGCTGAAGGGGTGCGAGGGGGGCGAGGGGGGCGAGGGTCCCCGCGGGAGAGGGCTCGGGCGTCCTGGAGAGGCGGCGTTGAAGGAGAGCCAAGGAAAGGAGGGATGCTGTCTGCCCCGAGGCGGCGGTGTCCGCATACTTGGCGACCACTGACACTAGAACGCAGTAACAGACGATTTTCCTGTAGTTACCTGTAATGAGCGGGCCAGGGAGCTGCCTACTTTCGCGAAGGTGCTGTTTTGGTCGCAGGAGCTCCATAGCTCCTTTTCACGCCGGCATATGTACGTCTTTTCCTTTCAGCCGTTAGTCTGAAGAACACAAGCCCCCGAGAGCAGCGATATTATAACACGTTCAAAAACCAAATATTCCGATAAAATGCAGGAGACTGCGCCATGAAAAAAAAAAAAAACAAATATTCCGAAAATACTGCTTATTAATACTAATTTTTTTAGTAAATATTGAAAGCTGCGTCGTGTTTAACTTACTCAGTACACAAAAGCACCCTGTAGCAACGGAAGGGCACAAAAATGAAATGAGGTTGTGGGATCCAGGCGTGGAGAAGTATTTTTAAGCCCACGGAACAGCGCTCTGTGCCCTGTACCGATAGCCAGTTAGCCGGGTGTGGCTACCGAACCCTTGAAATGTGGCTGGTGCGACGCAGAACGTAGTTTTTCATTTAACTTAAAAATTTAAATAGCTACGTAGCTAGCAGCCTATGGAATTTTCCCGAGCACTTTATAAATAATAAACTTGACTTGTTCAAGTGCCCCCATAAATTTAAACGACATTAAAAGAATGAATACCGGGCGCCTGGGTGGCTCAGTCGGTTGAGCGACTGCCTTCGGCTCAGGTCGTGATCCTGGAGTCCCGGGATCGAGTCCCGCATCGGGCTCCCTGCTCGGCGGGGAGTCTGCTTCTCCCTCTGACCCTCCTCCCTCTCATGCTGTCTCTCATTCTCGCTCTCAAATAAATAAGATCTTAAAAAAAAAAAAAAAAAAAGAATGAATACCTACATTGTAATTTTTTTAATGAAAGGAATTTGAGTAATTAGATTTATTTAAAGATCAGGACTTGAAATTGGTTTTCTCAAGACGCAACAGCTGTCAGGCTTCATAGATCTGTATTTCTGTATTTTATTTATCTCTCTTAAACCTGGTCAGATTTTTCCATATATAAAATGCCCCAACTCTTATTAAACTAGCCTTCCATTGTAAGCGATGGAACTTTGGGATTTACTGGAATATAGAATGGTACAGTACTGATTTTTATAATTTGCCTTTTAGTCTCAAGATACCCCCGAAAGATTTACAAACACAAATTGCATTGCAATTGCTGTGAAAGGAGCTGATTAAGTTGTGAAGTCAGATTATTTCTGGTCTTGGAATTCTGTTTATGAAAGCATGATAGTTATTGTCAAATAAAAGCCGCCTGGTAATATTCAACAGACCTTCCCACAGAATAATAAAGTTTTGTCAGATAATGTGGACTGGTTCCAGAAGTTAGAAGCTGCTGGAGTTTGTAGTTGGATAGTTGTTTGAGGAGTTGGTTGCTGGAGAGACCTCCTAAATCCCATCAAACCCATTTCTGTGATAGAAATAGTTGGTGCTTTTGATGCATATGTAGATTATAGGCAGGGAAATAAATTTAATTGAAGGATAAAATACAGTATAATGAAGAATTTATTCAAAAGCATGTTAAAGTTACTACTAATATTCTAAGATCAGATACTCTGATATTTTCCCAGTTCAGTGTACAGCTGTACAAATAAGGAATTTCTTTGCTGCTCTAAATCTATTAAGAGGAATTTTTTTCCCTAGGATATGCTAATGCATTTGTAAATGTTCTGTACTTTTAAATGATAGAGAAAACATCTTTCATAAATAAATAATGTAATACTACTAACCCTATCATTTTGGGAAAATACAAACTAGGAGCTCCTTGTGAGAAGGGTTGATGTTTTTCATATTAATATTTTCAACCCTCAACCTTATTCCATAATTTTTATGTGATGTTTTGTAGAAATTAATTGAAAGCCATCTATTTTATGGACTTAAATTACAAACTCCAAACAATTTTGAGTTAAACAGAATTAAGTGAGCACGAAGTGGTTGTCAGAAATTAGTGTGTTTATAAATTTCTTTTGTATTTCCATATATTTGTGGACAAGGGATGCTGGAGAAATACATATTAAAAGTAGATTGAGAGTCATTTTCTGGGATGTATATTTTTATCCTACTATACTCATATTTATTTTATTTTGCTTTTTTTAGAGTGGAAATATGCCTTGAAGTAGGTTCAGGGTCTGGAGTGGTATCTGCATTCCTAGCCTCTATGATAGGTCCTCAAGCTTTGTACATGTAAGTGTAAGTGTATCAAATTCATCCGTATCTTCCACTAAGAAATTCACTAGGGGTATAACCGCTCGAATGAAATCATTTTTGTAAATAAATAATATATATCTGAAAGGGTCTACTTAAGTGTAGTAAGGACTCATTATAAATTATTCTTCCCTAAAAATTATAACTGCATGTCCAAAACTGTTCCATCATACTGCATAATTATAGAAGCAACAAAATAATTTTAGGGTATTTCTAAATTTGAAATTTTTTAGGTAAATAGTCTGATTACCAGAAAAAATTGGAAGTTACTTAAATTTTTTAAGAAAATTTGAGAATATGGAAAGTTTAAAGAAGAAAATAAAAGTCACTTCCAATTCTACCACATGTGGTCCAAGTATGTTTCTTTTTTTCCCCGATTTCCTGTGTTTTTCATTTAATATTGTATCATGACTATTTTTCAAAAATTCCTTTTAAATTTCATTTTTGTGATAGCATAGTATTCATTGGATTCATAATTTAGTAAATGCCTTCAGATGTGTATGCATGTATGTATATTTTCTACTCTTGCACATTTTATCAATATAACATTCTTTTTCATTAATATAACACATCTTTGTTTTTTTCTTCACCATTATTAAAGCATTTTAATTTTTTTCTAAATCTGCTGTCTATAAAAGTGGAGCGTTTTTAAATTTTTCAGTAATAGGCTTGCCTCATGGTCGTAAGATACAGTGTTCTTTCTTTTCTGTGTCTAGGTGCACTGACATCCACCCTGAGGCAGCAGCTTGCACTCTGGAGACGGCACACTGTAACAAAGTCCACATTCAGCCAGTAATTACAGACTTGGTGAGCTGTTCGTCCTTGTCCAATGATAGTTAATTTCCTTTTCAAATACGTTAAGGTTAAGATGGTTAGGTAAAAGAAGCTTGGGTGATTGATTAATTAATTAACTTTTTTTTTTTAAGATTTTATTTATTTATTTGAGAGAGAATAAGAGACAGAGAGCACGAGAGGGAAGAGGGTCAGAGGGAGAAGCAGACCCCCCACTGAGCAGGGAGCCCGATGTGGGACTCGATGTGGGACTCGATCCCGGGACTCCAGGATCATGACCCGAGCCGAAGGCAGTCGCTTAACCAACTGAGCCACCCAGGCACCCTAATTAACTTTTAATCCACTAAATAGTATACCCCATAATTTACAGAGTAAATTCTTGACTGTTGTAATTCATCTTGTCCAAAATTCAAAGGGAATTTCTACTGTCTTGGAAGGATCAGTCATCTTTTGGTCAGAAGTGACAGAGAATCCATTCACACTGGCTTAAGTAAAGAGAGAGTGTGGCTTCAGGCACAGCTGGCTCCAGGAACTCAAATGATATGATAGGCATCATTTTCTTAGCTCTGAACTTCTCTATTGGCTCTATTTCTAGGTAGTCTTTCCCTTCATGGTAAGAAGATACTTGCATGTCTGTATCTTATTTCTCAGCAAACACCTCCCTCACCCCTCCGTGGAAAGAAACTCTTTCTATTCAGTTAGTCTAACAAGCCCCAGAATGAGTATTGCTTCGATCATCTTAGATCATATACCATCTCTCAATCTCTCACTATGGCCAAAGGGGATCAAAATACGGAGATGACTGGTTTAGGCCTGAGTCATAGTCCCACCCCGGCAGCTGCATTGGCATAAACCCTACCCAAGCCACATGGATTGAGAATGAGAGGAGATAGAGCTTACCCAATAGAGATCAAGGAGATAAAATCAGAAGAAAGCAGGGAATGAGGCCTGGGCAGGTAAAAACGACACATCACAATTACAGAACCATCATTTTATTTTAAGTTACACATATATTTTCCAGTTGCAGTTTTCCTTTAATATTTTAATTAGTAAGACTTGGATAATTTTGGACTTTTGTTGTTGTTATAAGTGCTTTTTTGTAAGCAAAAAATCATAACAGCATGTACCAGGTAGGGATAAGAAAAATGCTTTCTGTGCTTCTTGACCTGTATTATTCTTACAGTGGTAAGAGTATTTAGCTTTTCTGCTTTTTTTTTTTTTTTTTTTAATTTTATTTATTTGACAGAGACACAGCGAGAGAGGGAACACAAGCAGGGGGCGTGGGAGAGGGAGAAGCAGGCTTCCCGCCGAGCAGGGAGCCCGATGCAGGGTTCAATCTCGGGACCCTGGGATCATGACCTGAGCCAAAGGCAGACGCTTAACGACTGAGCCACCCAGGCGCCCCGATTTTCTGCTTTTTTAAACTCACAAATGACTTTTCCGCTTGGAAGGAATTAAGCCAAACGTAAGAAATTCTTACCTATTAGAACTTGTTACTGCTATTAAAAACTAGATTATCAAGAAAGGTACTCAGGTGATTTACATGGGATCACTGTGGTGGTTTTGCCCTTTACAATTTTAACTTGTTTCTTTAATGTGTCCATGATTAGTGTTAAATATATGTTTTTGATATGATGATAAAACTTTAGAGATATAAGAAATTCAGAATATCTTTTTTTTTAACAGAGGTAGAAACTGAGGTGAGGTTCATTTTTTTAAAGTCACATGACTAATAAAGTGATAAATACAGAATTTAAGCCCAGACCGTGCTAATCTAAATCTCGGGGTCTCACAGCTGTTTCAGGACATGGCTTGTGGTAGTCCATGCCAGAGTCAGCTCTTTCAGTGGTTCAAGGTGATGGTGACACTGAGTACCGACAAAGAAAGAAGGAAGTAGGCATTAGCATAGGTATTATGATCCACTTACAAAACTCTACATTTGTTTATATTCAGAACACTGAGCATAGATTATCACAGCCATGATACAAAGTCATTGTTTTGGATAACTAAGCTTACGTGTTTACAAAGTAGTACTTTCATTTTGCTGCTTTTTTAGTTTTAGAAAAAAGACTTTTTTCAGACATGTCATATGCCTTTCCTTATATTCCTAAAACAAACTAAACATAACTTTACCTTTGATTGATTCAGGGTCATTAATATGAACCTTAGTTACTACTCCGTGCTAGCTGTGATAATGGGGCTTATTCAGGGCTTTCTGTCTTTACACTGAGTAGCTAGAGCCTGCAGTGATTTTGAGTTTTTATTTCCTCTCCTCTTTGTCTCTCTCTTCACTTGCTTTATGTTGTCTTGTTTTACTATTACCTGTTGGTGGCATTTTCGCTCTCTTTTTCCATGTGCTCTGTGCTAGAATACCGAACAAGTGATTTAGTTAAACTTGTATTTAAACTAAGAGTTCGGGGCGACTGGGTGGCTCAGTCGTTAAGCGTCTGCCTTCAGCTCAGGTCATGATCCCAGGATCCTGGGATCGAGCCCCACATCGGGCTCCCTGCTCCACGGGGAGCCTGCTTCTCCCTCTCCCACTCCCCCTGCTTGTGCTCCTTTAAAAAAAATTTTTTTAAACTAAGAGTTCAGGGGCTCGGAAAAAGAGCCTCTCATATGAATAAAGTACATTTTGCTATATGGATTTAAAACTTCTTGTCAGAGGGCTTTTTTGCTTACTTCCCAATTCTTGGATCCGTTCTAATGCTCTGAGACCACCCAAAAGCTGAATGTGGATGAGTGAGAGATGTGTGTGATTAGACCTTATATCCAGCCTACCGTGACTTTCTTATTTAAATCCATTTTCTTTGTAAACTACCTCATTTTCCATGTTTTAATATCCATTTTTTCCTTTATTTAAAATCCAGTACTGCAATGATTATTAGTATATAGTACCTCAGAGCCATTATAAACAATTACAAAGCAAATTCTTTTCTAGTTTCCTTACTCAACATTTCTGGAAAATTACCTTCTGAGCTTTTTCTTTACAATGTGAGAAACTTAATTTCTTTATGTAATTGAAAATAGAGCTTTTGGTTATTTCAGATGTATTTCCTCACTGCAGTATCACTACTGAAAGGAAGAGCAGATTCACCAGTCATCTTCCTACTTGCAGACAAGGGTATACCTGAATCACTTCCCTCAAAAATGGTATTCTTCACTTTTTAAATGAATAGGGAAAGAAAAGTTACCTCTGACATCTCCTCAAAGATGCTATTCGCATGTTTTCTTTGAACTGTATAGTTAACAGGCTTCTTACGATGACAAACATAGAATTGCTTTTAGAAACCTGGATAAAATGGAAGTTGTGAGGCAGTGTTTCACGCTGTGTGTAAATACCCAGTGATGTGCCCAGTACTGAGATGGTATGACTGAGTATTAAATAACTTTGAATCCCATAATGTAAAAGCTCTTTTCTCTCTAATTCTCCTTCAGCCATTTTGATTACATCTGGGAGAAGGTCTCAGTTTTAAACACTTGCAAATGTCTCGCTTTTTTTTTCTCTTAAAGATTTTATTTATTTATTTATTTGAGAGACACAGAGGCTGTGAGAGAGCACGAGCAGGATAGAAGGAGAGGGAGAGGGACAAGCAGGCTCCCCGCTGAGCAGGGACCCCGATGCGGGGCTTGATGCAGGGCTCGATGCGGGGCTCCATGTGGGGCTCAATGAGGGGCTTGATGCGGGGCTTGATGCGGGGCTTGATCCCAGGACTCTGGGATCATGACCTGAGCTGAAGGCAAATGCCTAACCGACTGAGCCACCCAGGCTTCCCTGCAGATGTCTCTTTAACAAAGAGACAGATGACCTGGGTCACTCTCAGACTGGCAGCAGTAACTATAACCATAACATTTTTTTATTTATATCACATTTATCCTTGTAGTCATTTCTATTTCCAGGAAGTAATACTGATTTCCCTTAGAACAAACTTATTTAACAGAAAAAGGTCTATTTAATGAAAAATATTTAGTAAATAATGGTAGGTCCCTGTGCATATATGGGAGAATTATAAGAATGTTAATAAAATACCTAACACTTTGGACCCTGCCTTGAAGTACTTCAGCTATTCCATCTCAGGGGACACCTAGGTGGCGCAATCGGTTAAGTGCAGTTGGTTAAGCGCAGTCGGTTAAGCGCAGTCGGTTAGGTGTCCGACTCTTGATTTCAACTCAGGTCATGATCTCAGGGTTTGTGGGATCGAGCCCCGCATCAGGCTCCGAGCTCAGTGGGGAGTCTGCTTCCTCTCCCTCTACCCCGTTCCTGCATGTGTGCACATGTGCTTGCTCTCTCTCTCAAATAAATCTTTAAAAAAAAAAAAAAAGAAACAGCCTCAGAATTCATGGGCAAGAGTCTGTACAAAGTGGTAATTGAAGGAAATGGCTTTAGAGGTGAAAACCTATCCAGATAACAGTGTTTTTACTTTACTGTACCTGTGACAGTGCGGGGTGACATGACCAGATGTGATTTTGTGAGTATGTGTGTAATCAGTCATCAGAGGGATCCAAGGAATACTTTAAATGGCATTGTGCCCTAAAAGCACTTTGTTTAAAAAGACATTTTTGTTGTTGTTCCACAGAAAATTGTACCCAGTTGTTTAAAGGTTTACAAAATGCCAAACAACTGAGATTTTCAGTGTCTCTTCCACTTTTTTTAGCCCTTTCTTTGATATCTAATTGTTCCAGCCAGTATATTTATAATTAAAGTAGAAAGCAAATATAAATACATATACACATATATGTATATATATTTTTATATATATATGTGTTTTCTGTTATTTTTTGTCATCTCATAAAACATTTGGTTACAGAAAATAAATGTTTAAGTTAGAGCAATAGCTTTAGAGTATATGTATATCGATACAGAACATAGGAGAGCTTGCTTCCTTATTTAATCTTCTAAAAGTGAACCCAGAGTGTAAACATATGAGCTGTCAAAAAGCAGAGGCTTTTTGGACATTTTATGTTCATTCTGTTAAATAGTTTAATTTCCTATTTTCAGGTAAATGCATGTAATCTATATCTAAATGAAAATGTAAAAATATTTATCTCCATCTCTGTCTACAGTTTTAGCCCTCTAACACATTGTTCTCTAAAAACATGGGAAGAAAGTATTTTTAAACTTTTATTTATTTATCTATTTTAATTCTGAGTCTAGCTTAAAATTCTGACTATTGAAACATTTAGGTCAAAGGCTTACTACCAAGATTGAAGGAAAAAGTTGATCTTCTGGTGTTTAATCCCCCCTATGTAGTGACTCCACCTGAAGAGGTAAGACATGTAACAAGATTTAATTATTAATATTTTCAGCTATTTTCTTTAAAATCAAATGAACTTCATTATATGACATTAGTCAGCTGCTGATTAACACAGACTGGTCTGATATTATTCCTAATTGTCAATAATTAAGTATGTTGGTAGACATAGGAAAGGAATCTCAAACTAATGGAAATACAGTGACCCGTATTCATCCTTAAAATTCTCATCGAAATCAGGCCATATATTTAAATTTGCATGTGTGTGTCCTCTATCATGAATTGCAAATTTGCAAAACAATATTTTAAATCATCCTTAAATTCATTATAGGAATTCTTTCTGAAAGTCAACAATTTCCTCCTTTCACAGGTGTTGGGGGGGTGACTCTTATTTCAGGTAGGGAAAAGAAACATCTTGAAATATATGGTTTGGAAAATCTCAGTAATGAAGCGGTAAATCATATCCCAATTTAAAGAGAGAATGGTCAAGGCAGACAAAGTTTAATAACGAACTAAGGCTAGCTTTCCTTGAATTATTCATGATCCTGTTTTATTCATTGATGAATCGTTCTCTGGCAAGGCTGATAAACATTACATTCTCCTCTACGAAGATGGCAGAAGTCTCTGTAGCTGCTATTACTACTAAGGGCAGCTAAGCAACTAAGAACTTGTTGCTCCTCTGACACAGGAACTCATTTGAGAAGGAAAGTCATAAGGTGAACAGAGATTGAGGGCAATGCAACTTACACAACTCTTTAGGAAAGGACTATGTGAATAAATATCAAGAGTGATAAAAATGTTTCAGTCCAGTAATTTCAGTCCTTGAGATATAATTTAAGAAAATCATTGAAGGGACGCCTGGATGGCTCAGTCATTTGAGCCTCTGCCTTCAGCTAGAGTCATGATCCCAGGGTTCTGAGATCGAGTCCTGAGTCAGGCTTCTTGCTCAGCGGGGAGCCTGCTTCTCCCTCTGCCTGCTGCTCTCCCCTGCTTCTGCGCTCGCTCGCTCTCTCGCTGTCTCTCTCTCTGACAAATAAATAAATAATATAATGAGAGCCCCACATGGGACTCTGCGCTCAGCACGAGGCTGCTTGGATATTCTCTCCCTCTGCCCCTTCTCTGCTCCCTGGCTCTCTCTCTCGCTCACTCTCTCTGAAACAAATAAATGTTTTTAAAAAATTAGATACAAAAAAATTTAAGTAAATGAATGCATTGGATGCTCATCAATAGCTACATAAGATATACTTTTCCATTATAAAATACTAGGCAGCCATTAAAAGAGTAAAATAGAACCATACCTGATCACATGAAGAGCTCATCTTAAGGTATTGTTGAGTGAGAAAAGCAAGATATGGGGTAAAAATATAGAATATAATCCTGTCTTTGTAAAACATGGACAAAAAAGAAAAAAACGTGTGTGTAAGATGGGGAAGGAGCAGACAAGCAAAACAGTAAAAGGGGAAAGTGCAATTTTTTAAAAAAGCAGGTATATGAATGTATTTCCCTTATCTGTAAAATAATATATGTATATAGTTACAGGTATAAATGAATTTAATGGAGGAATATATACCATTTAAATGAATAAAAGCAGTAGGCATGATTGTATACAATTTGTTTAAACTAAAATATGGACAAAACCATTGAAGGATAAGAAAGAAAATAATTGTTAGGGTTAAAATAGTTCTTGAATGTTTTTTTCAAAATATTCTTTAGTTTTGAAAATGATACACAGTGATAAGAATCTAAAGATTTTTAATACCGTATGAACTCTCATGTGTTTTGTTTCTACGATAGAATTAGATCGTTACGGGGAAAAATGCTTTGGTGAACCTTTATATATTAAATAGGTTCCTTAAAAAGGTGTGTACAATTCATACTTTAAATCTAGAAGAGAGCCAGATGCAGCAGGACATGTAGTTTCAACAAACTTCCTGCAGAGTAGATCTCTTATAATGTAAGATCTCCCTTTTAGTTTCTTCCTGATTGTTATGTATTAAGTATAAGAATCACCTATGTCTATCAATATAAACATTGCATAAATAGTAACAACTATTACTAAGCACTTGATATTTGCAGAGCACTGTTTTCAAACTTCAAATATATTTCCTCTGTTATTCCTAGCAATGGAAAAAATTAATTTGTTACCATTTTTCTACTTTAACAGTTAAAACTATTGTTTTTCTGATTTCACTGATAAGGGAGGAAACTAATTCACAAAAATGACAAACTTCCATAAGGTCACAGGGCTAGGAAATGGTGGGGCTCAGATTCAACTTTTCTGCCTCCTGGACAGCAGTAAAATACAAAGTATATACTTGTTTGGTGAATGTTACTTGTCAAAAAGATTTTGTGTGTGATTCTAAATGTAACTTGAATCAAAACAAAATGGTCTTTTTTAAATGGTCACAGGTAGGAAGTCATGGAGTAGAAGCCATTTGGGCTGGTGGCAGAAATGGTCGGGAAGTCATGGACCGATTCTTCCCACTGGCTCCAGACCTTTTGTCACCAAGAGGATTATTCTATCTGGTTACCATTAAAGAAAACAATCCAGGTAATCCAGACTACTTTATCTTTTAACCACTTACTTTGCTGAAATCAAAAGTTAATAATGTTAAAGACTATAAAGTAACCTGAAATACTGTAAATATAATCACTGACAACAGCTCACACAAACATAACATTCATATTGAAAGAAGAGAGATTTTTAAGATACAGTTTTTTCTGGTTTTAGAAAGTAGTATTTTTTTAAAGGGAGAGGACAGTTTTTCCCCTAATAAAATAATATTCAAACACAAAATCTGTAATTTCTTCTTTTAACACCTCACCCTGAATATTATGAATTTTCTCTCCACATTGTAGTCTACATGCCCTTGACAATTCTGCTATGTACTCTTTAGTTCATGTGAAGTTTTGTTACGAAAGCTACCTCATGGTATGGAGTTTTAGATCTTGGTTTTCAGATGACTCCGTACTAAATTGACCATAATCTTTCTTCTCTTTCAGTACACAAGTTTGATTTTCATCTTATATCTTATGTCCTTAGCCCCTCAAATCACATAATGATTACTAAGTTTTGCTTTGTTTGTAAGTCCATTTTCTTAATTCGGTCTTTTTAGTATCACTTATTTACAAAAGGGAAGGTGTTGCTTTTTTCAATATACCTGAAAGAAATAAGCTATTTCATTTACTTCCACTGTTTAATGTCACTGTACAGTTTGCCCTACTTTCATTGACTTTTTTCATCCCAAAGGAAAGGCCAGGATTGGAGCCAAGCAACTAAACTAATTACTTGCTATAACGACAAGTTTCATTAATGTTTCTGTTGAGTCCAGAGTAGGCCACCACTGCAAAGCAAGGCCGTTCAGTATGATTAGAGTTCTCCACGACACCTTGAAAATGCAGGTGCTCCCATTTGACTAAAGTCCATTTTAATAGAAATTTACTTGGTATACATTGTTTTCTCAGATAAGTAGAATTTGCAAATAGTCTGCGTTTATCATCTTATTAAACTGTTTAGTGATCATACACTCTTCACTAGATGATTTTAATTGGATTTTACCTTTTGTTTTAATTTTTATTCTAGAAGAAATTTTGAAAACAATGACGACAAGAGGTCTACAAGGGACTATTGCACTTTCCAGACAAGCAGGCCAAGAACTCCTCTCAGTCCTGAAGTTTACCAAGTCCTAACTTACTGTGTGTGCTGTGTATTATGCTGGATTGTATATATTGATAATATATGTTATATTGAATATATATATGTGAATATGTATAGAGAGAGAAGCTGAATGTATTTGGCATATTTTGAAAATGAAGTCATTTCTTCGTTAACAAGTGAAATTGTCAGGTTATATAGAAAAAGGTGGGAAGGGCATTGCATTCCCTTTTCCCCAGGTAATCAAGCCTACAGAAATAGTTGAGTAAGTGCTAGTAAATGCATTTAGAATATATATTATTTGCATTTTACGTATAAAACCTGAACATGAGTGATGTATCCAGTCACTAAACATGAGTCAGGTCTGAAGGTATTCCTAATGTACTACTGAGGGAAAAAAGCAAGTTACAAAACAGTATGATCCTGTATGTATAATTTTGAAACCCAGCAGAGAGGCTATGTGTGTATGTGAACATCGGAACATCTCAGAAGGTACATGGCAGGAGGGAACGCGGGACTTTTGCTCTTTTATGGTAGCATTTGCACAATGGTAACATATGACTTGTATAATTTTAAAAAGGTTTTCATTTAAAAATTTTTTTAATTTACTTTCACTTGTTCACTGTCTCCATTCTATTTCTATTATTTAGAATGCCTTCTGCCTCCATGTTTCTCCCTGGTCAGATTGTTCCTGCCTTTTATCCTTTGTCATATATTTCTGTTTTCTTCTTTCCTATATGTGTAGGATCAGAGTGAGTGGAATCTAGAATTTATTTTTAATTGGGCTATATTCAGAATCAACTGGAGAAGCTTTTTAAGATTATAAATTCCTAAGCCTGACCATAGACCCGTGGACTCCTCTGCTGAACAGACCTAAAAATGGCCTCTTTTAAAACGTGCTTCCCAGTGTTCCTTAAGGTAGTGCACCAAATTTTAGAACTATTGGTTTTTTTTGTTTTGTTTTGTTTGTTTTTAAAGATCTATTTATTTATTTGACAGAGAGCACAAGCAGGGGGAGCAGCAGAGGGAGAGGGAGAAGCAGACTCCCCATGGAGCAGGGAGTCTGACACGGGGCTTGATCTCAGGACCCCGAGATCATGACCTAGGCTGAAGGTAGACACTTAACTGACTGAGCCACCCAGGTGCCCCTAGAACTATTGTTTTAAATCACATTATTATTTAATGCTTAGGACAATGCACAGAAAGAGTGGAATTACCCTCCTTTGATGTTCAGAAAGGTCAAATAACTTGTCCAAAGAAGCACAGTAGTTAAAGGGTAAAGCCAGTACGGCAGCACTCAGACACATCTGACTCCCAAACGCTTTCTTTCAATTTGCTTATAATGCAGCAGTAAAGATATCAAAATTAGTATTTACTTGAGTCTAATATCTGTAAATATATTCCCCTTCCCAGAAATAGTCATCTGAAATGTTACAATTAAAAAAAAAAAAAAAGGCTAAAAAAACTTAGAACTTTATTGTGGGTCTTTAGTTATAATTTTGGAGAATGGGGTCTTGAATATTTTCAGATAACATTTGAAACACTTTAAAATTCGCATAGAAGGGCGCCTGGGTGGCTCAGTTGGTTGAGCGACTGCCTTCGGCTCAGGTCATGATCCTGGAGTCCCGGGATCGAGTCCCGCATCGGGCTCCCTGCTCGGCAGGGAGTCTGCTTCTCCCTCTGACCCTCCTCCCTCTCATGCTCTCTGTCTCTCTCTCATTCTCTCTCTCAAATAAATAAAATCTTAAAAAATAAAATAAAATAAAATAAAATTTGCACAGAAGACGACTGTCAACATAGGAGATTAAAAACATAGAAATGCTACATAAATGACCCCAAAACTTCAGCATAACTGTTAATGGACTAAATTGTGTCCCCCCACATTCATATGTTGAGGTCCTGATCCCCAGAACCTCAGAAGGTGAGTGTATTTGCAGATGGGCCTCAAAGAAGTTTAATTACCTCTTTAAAGGAGGCCGTCAGGGTGGGCCCTGATCCAGTCTGACTGGCCTCCTTACAAGAGATTAGGACGTAGGGAGACACCAGGGATGCTTAACACACAGAAACAAAGCACGTGAAAGTCAGTGAGAGGCAGCCATCTGCGAGCCAAGGCAGGAGACTGCAGAAGAAACCCCACCTGCTGATGCCTTGCTCTTGGACTCCAGCCTCCAGAACTGTGAGCAAGCAAATTCCTGTTGCTGAAGCCACCAGCCTGCGGCTTTGTCGTAGTGGCCCTAGCAGACTCATGTAGTAATTAAAGGCAGGAAATACTGCGTTCTGCAAACGAGAAAGCAGTGCCAGCGTGAAAAGTGCATGCTGTGTCCTGGTGGTCAGAACTGTGGCCCGGAGCCTTCAGGAGGAGAGGTGCAGATCCAGCTCTCTTTGTGTTAAGGAAGAGCTACTCAATACAGGAAGAAAGAGGACCTGTAAAACCACATCATTTGGCCCAAGGGAAGCAGCAAAAAAAACGGTCATACCTTGGATGAAAAGAAAAATAGTAATAATCTATTACTGTTATAGATTAGGCTAACCTCTGTTGTAGGATTTAATTCATCCTATTTACGTGAGGTAGGAACATTAACATGAAAAAGTTAACATTAAAATTATCTAAACCGTTGCTCACCGAGAAGCTACAATCAATGAGAGCAGAAAAAGAAAAAAACAAAAACAAAAAAACAGACACCTAAGGTATATAAACAGTGGAACTGTTATATTCAGATTGTGGCATGTTTGACATGTTTAAAGAATTAACATAAAGAAAAGCTCATACAAGAAGAAACTGGAAAGAACAAATTGAAGTCGACTTTTAAAAATGAGAAATACAGACATGGAAATGCATTAGTGTCAATTTGTGCTTACCAAAAAAACAAACAAAAAAAAACAACAGTATTTTAAAACAAAGGAGTGATAATATTCCATTCCAAAATTAAGATGTAGTTCTTTTTTTTTTTTCTTTTTTCCTCATACTGGGAAGAAAAAGGAATACAAATTAAGGCAGGACTGAAAAAAGAGAAAAATTTAGACAGGACTGAAAAGACTCAGGAAGAGATTAAGAGAAATATAGCCATGTTAGGAACCTTTATGACTAAATGTAAATCATTTTATGTGTAGATGTAGGATGTGATTCATACATACACTAAAATTACTTTGCATGTAAAATAATATAATACAATACCAATGCCTATCTCCATTCTGTGTTCATTTTTCTTTTTATGTAAACTTTGTATTGAGGTGGAACATACTTTATAGATTGTATATGTCTTAGGTGTCTAGCTTGATAGATTTTTACGAAGTCAACATCCATTTAGACTACACCCAAATCAAGAAATAGAACACTACCAGCATTCCAGAAGCTCCACCAGATTTCCTTCCCAGTCACCTCCCACTCACCAAGGGAAACCATTGCTTGGCTTTTTGTGTTAGTTTTTTATTTCTGCATAACTAACGGCTCTAACTTTACTGCTATTAGCACAAATTTATGGTCTCACAGTTTCTTTGGGTCAGGAGTGTGGGTATAGTGAGCTGGATTCACTGCTTAGAATCTCACCAGGCTGTAGGAAAGGTGTTGCTCATGGCTGTGATCTCATCTGGGTCTCAGGGTCCTTTTTCATGTGGTCGTAGGACTAAAGTCACTTCTGGCTGTCGGGTAGGGATAATTCTCACCTTCTACAGGCCTCTCTTGAATCTTTGTACCATAATCACCTCCACAGGCAGTTCACAGAATGGTCGCTTGCTTCTCTATGGCCAGCAGGAGAATTTCTTGACCTTCAAATCTACAGTGAGGGCCTAGAATCTCTTTGAAAGAACTCATCTGATTAGGTCAAGTTCACCCAGTATACTCTTCTGTTTAATTAATTAATCCAAACTCAACTGATGAGGGACCTTATGTAACCTAATTACAGAGAGAAAGTCATTCACAAGTCCTACCCACAGTCAAGGGATGGGGATGACACAGTGCATGTACACCTGTGGGAGTGAACCTGGCAGGCCATCTTAGAATTCTGTTACATTCCTTTTACTACAGATCTGGTCTTCCTGCTTTGACCCTGTATTAATGAATCATATGATATATACTCTTTGGTGTCTAGATTCTTTCATTCAATAGTGTTTTTATGAGATTCTTCCATGCAGTTGTGTACAGCAATTATTTATTCATTTTCACTTTTGTATATTCTCATTACTTCTACTGTATGAATGTATCAAAAAAAATTTTTTTTTAATATTTATTTGACAGAGAGAGACACAGCGAGAGAGGGAACACAAGCAGGGGGAGGGGTACAGGGAGAAGCAGGCTTCCCGAAGAGCAGAGAGTCCGACGTGGGACTGATCCCAGGACCCCGGGATCATGACCTGAGCCGAAGGCAGCCGCTTAACTGACTGAGCCACCCAGGCGTCCCGAATGTATCAAAATTTATCTATTCTACCATTGAATATCTGGATTGCTTCTAGCTTTGTATCATTGTGACCACATTTGTATCTTTCAGCAAACACGTATGCATTTCTGTTAAATACATACCTACCAGTTATCTTCAGCTTATTAATAAAAACTTTTCCCAAAAGTCACTTTTTAAGAATTGAGAAACAGAATCCCTAAAATCAAAACCCACAATGGACAGGGTAAACAGCCGAAAAGAGAATTAATGAACTGAAAAAAATTCAAGTGCTGCCCAAAGAGATAAAAGGAAAATACGAAGGAACAATAAGGATTATGAAGGATAAAACAAACAAGAGTCCCAAAAAGAATGTAAGAAAGATGGGGTGCCTGGGTGGCTCAGGTCGTGATCCCAGGGTCCTAGGACCCTTGCTCCAGGGGAGCCTGCTTCTCCCTCTCCCGTTCCCCCTGCTTGTGCTCTCTCTCTCTCTGTCAAGTGAATACATAAAATCTTAAAAAAAGAATGTAAGAAAGGCAATATTTGAAAAGATAGTGGCTAGTATTTTCCTGGAATTGACTTTAGAAAGAAGACAGATTCCAGAAGCACAAACAAAATAAAGGGAAATCCACACCTAGACATAGCGTAGTGGCATTGCAAAACATCAGAGGCAAAGAGATCTTCAAAGGTAATCAAAGGGAAGGAACGACTCACTGGTAAGCATGGGTTGGCAAACGTTTTGTAGCTAAGATACTGGAGTACGGCCCTGGCCATTCATTCAAGTATCGTGTGTGGCTGCTTTGGCCTACGGAGGCAGAGTTGAGTAGTCACAGCTTAGACCACAGAAACCACATGGCCCACAAACCTCAAAATATTTACCATTTATCCCTTTAATATGTTTGCCAACACTGCTACAAAGGAGCTATAATTGAAGTAACAACAGATTTCTTAAACAGCGACGAAGGAAGCCAAAAGCCAAAAGCCTGTGGAATAATACCCTCACAACAAAGGAAGCCAGAAGCTAGTGGAGTAACATCCTCAAAGTGTTGGGAGTAATGGTCCATCTGTTGGGTTCCAACAAAACTCTGACAAGCAAGGTTTGTAAAAGTAGATAAAAATGAGGGAGTTTGGGGCACCTGGGTGGCTCAGTCGGTTAAGCGTCTGCCTTTGGTTCAGGTTGTGATCTCAGGGTCCTGGGATCGAGCCCCACATCGGGCTCCCTGCTCTGCGGGAAGCCTGCTTCTCCGTCTCCCACTCCCCCTGCCTGTGTTCCCTCTCTCGCTGTGTCTCTGTCAAATAAATAAAATCTTAAAAAAAAAAAAAAAATGTTTACCAACAAGAGATCTACAGTAAATGAACTTCTAAAAGGTGTATTTCAGGGGCGCCTGGGTGGCTCATTTAAGCATCTGCCTTCAGCTCAGGTCATGATCCCAGGGTCCTGGAATCGAGCCCCACATCAGGCTCCTTGCTCATCAGGGGAGTCTGCTTCTCCCGCTCCCTCTGCCATTCCCCCCTCTGCCATTCCCCCTGCCTGTACTCTCATTCTTTCTGTCAAACAAACAAATAAATAAATAAAAGGTGTGTTTCACGGAAAAGGAAAAACATCCCAGAAGTCTCAAATGGGGGGTGCCTAGGTGGCTCAGTCGGTTAAGCATCTGACTCTTGATTTTGGCTCAGGTCATGATCTCAGGGTCATGAGATCAAGCCCTGTGTTGAGTTCCATGCTTGGTGGGGAGTCTGCTTAAGAGTCTCTCTCTGCCCCTCCCCCCACTTGCACACACATACTGTCCTTCTCTCTCTCTTTCTCTCTCTCTCAAATAAATCTTTAAAAAAGAAAAAGACTGGAAATAAAGTGATGAAGATATATCAGACAAATCAACAAGGTGAGATAGCCCCCTTAATAGCTCACTGTACTAGGTTGAATAGTGCCTCCCCCAGATTCATGTCCAACCAGAACCTGTCAATGTGACCTTATTTGGAAAGAGGGTCTCTGCAGATGAAATCAAGTTAAGATGACATCATACTGGGTTAGAGTGGGCCCTAAATCCAATATGACTGGTGTCCTTGTAAGATGAGGGAAATTTGGATGTAGAGATGCAGATAGAGAAAATGCCATGTGAAGATGAGGAAGAAACTGGAATGATGAGTCTACAAACCAAGCAATGCCAAGGATTGCTGGCAACTAGCAGAAGCTAGGAGAGGCTAGAAAGGATTCTTCCCTAGAGCCTTCATAGAGAGCATGGCACCTTGACTTCAGACTTCTGGCCTCCAGGACTCTGAGAGAATACATTTCTGTTGCTTTAGGCTATCTACTCTGTGATACTTTGTTCCAGCAGCTCTGGGAAGCTCATACAGACAGTCCCAATGCATTGTTAGAAATGGGCACTAAAGAATGATAAAGATTTACACTTCACCAGGCAGATATTCACAGTTCTAAACTTGAGTGCAACTAGTAAACTAGCCTCATACTGTATAAAATAAAAATAGAAACACAAGTATAAATTGACAAATCTATCATATAGGAAGATTTCACATCACCTCGCAATCACTACTGCATCAAGGAGGTACATGAAAATGATAAATGTAGAAGATTTGAACAATAGATATAAGGTGGATTTATAATATAGAATTCTGGAACCAACAGTTAGAGAATACGTTAAGGACATGGGATGTTTACAAACCTAATTACATATTAGGCCAAGAGCAAGTCCCTATAAAATTCAAAGAATCAGTATCGGGCGCCTGGGTGGCTCAGTTGGTTAAGCAACCGCCTTCGGCTCAGGTCATGATCCTGGAGTCCCGGGATCGAGTCCCACATCGGGCTCCCTGCTCGTCAGGGAGTCTGCTTCTCCCTCTGACCCTCCTCCCTCTCATACTCTCTGTCTCTCATTCTCTCTCAAATAAATAAATAAAATCTTTAAAAAAAAAATTCAAAGAATCAGTATCATATAGCCTATATTCTCTGACTAATACAATTAGGTTATAAATCACTAAGAAAAAGTTAAATTTTTAAACTTCATACATTTGCAAAATTCAAAACATGCTTCTGAATAATTTATAGTTCAAAGAATAATAATTGGCATTTTTAAAATTCCTGAATGATAATTTCAGTATCAGAATTTAGGGAATGCAGTGGAAGTAAAACTGAGAATGAAACTTACAGCCTTAAGTGCTTATTTAAAAAAAAAAAAAGGCTCAGAATTAATATACTAAGTGTCCAATTTGAGAAGTTAGAATATGTTCAAGTAGAAAATAGGGACTATAATAAACATAAGAGCAAAAATCAATGTCAAAGGGTGAAATTTGAAAAAAAAATTCTCTTTATATTGATAAAAAGAAAAGGCACAAATAGAAAGATGATACTGTGAACACTTTGATGCCAGTAATTTTTTTTCCTTTTTTTTAAAAAGATTTTTTATTTATTTATTTGACAGAGAGAGGGAACACAAGCAGGGGGAGTGGGAGAGGGAGAAGCAGGCTTCCCCTGGAGCAGGGAGCCCGATGCAGGGCTCTGTCCCAGGACCCTGGGATCATGACCTGAGCCGAAGGCAGACGCTTAATGACTGAGCCACCCAGGCACCCCGATGCCAGTAATTTTTAAAGGGAGATGAACTGGCCAACATTCTGAAGCAGTGGTAACTCAAACTTCAGCATTCTCCCAGAATCCTCTGGGGGACTTGTTAAACCACAAGATTGCTGTTAAGACACCCCTGGTGTTCCTTATTCAGCAGGACTTGAGAATTTGCATTCTAACAAGTTCCCAGGTGTGATAGGTTTAAATAATTTTCCCCAAAGTTATCAGGTCCTAATCCCTGGAGCC